ATAATTCACTCAGGTGTTTTTCTCTTTTTCTCTCTTTCTCTGAAGCACATTACGGAAATATTGCCATTTAATATTTGCAAAAAACAAACTTGATATTTACAAAGTGTTCCGAGAATTAATTTAAAAACTTCAAGTTAGATGTGCCACGTCTTCCCGTTATCCGATCGAGCTTAGCTTTTACACAATTTTTTATTCACCAAATGGAACAACTTTAGGGGGCATCGTGAAAAAAATTCAGAAGTCAAAAATAAGGTCCACCCTACTGTCCACGTTTTACCATTAAGTACCGGGCACCCTGTATACATATCGATAATCGAGTACGGACGCATATTTACACGCAGAACGCACGCTCGCCTGCATCTTTTCCAAGAAGCCTTCGATTAATCTCCTAACAAGAAAATAGCAATGTAAGTGAATTTACATTATCATTCAATCCTTAATTCCCTTTTCTCCTCCATTTTGATAACATTCTGTCGGGTGACAAAGGGCTAATGGGGATTGCTCGTAGGGATGATACGGGGGATGCTCGTAGGGATGATACGGTCACGACATTCAAGTAGGTAGATGCAACTGCGCCGAATGCTGAAGGCCTATTACAAGGGGGAGACCTTCGACCAGTTTTCGAAACCCGCCGGCCAGTCGCCGCGCCTGCTCCACCTTCACCTCGCCTCTGCAGCCCGCGCCAAGATTGAACCTGGTGAGTGCCTCATGCGTGTTACTATGTGTCAGAATTTTTTATTATTTTCGAACTGTGAATAATTTCTAGGCTTTATCTTTAAGATCATTCGGCCTTCTAACCGAACAGGATTGACAATTTGGATAATGCGTTGACCTTGACACGTGTGTGGAGAAGGAGGAAACCCTGTTGAATTTTGCATCACTGAAGATGGCTCGAAACGGAGCCGAAACGTCTGCTATTGTGCTTAAGTAACTATTAAAAATTAAACATTTTACGCGCACTAAGTACCGCGCTCAACTCTTATTAGCCTTTTCCCCAATTCTTGTTTTTTAAAGTGCGAGTGTCCGTTAGTTCACTATTTTTATTTAAAAGTTTTTTATTTGCAACAATAACTTTTTTATAATACATAATTTCTATTCTCTATATTTATGCAAACCAAAAAATACAGTAAAATCGAACACTGCAATTTCATACGGATTACAATAATAGTAATGTTAATTCTATAAGGTATTTTAAGTGCTTTAGCATCTCGTGGATGCTAAATAAAATGTATGATTTAATTAATGGACTTCTCAAAATTTCGAATAAAAGCAATGACAATAGCTCATTCTCCTCGGTATTATCGTGTTTCTTAATCTTAAACCAAGCTCGAAGGCAGAATTTTAATGTGTAGAGTGGAGGTAAATGCGAATCGAAAATATTCGTAATCATATTCACAAATATATACATTCAAATCGCATAAAAAGTATTTTTTCAACTTTCTATGAATATAAAAAAAGTAGTATTTATACTCGTATTTATATTCATTATTTACTTCTTCATTTATTTATTCATTTATTCGAATATTGGATGTATTCATCGGACACACTAGATTCTCCAGCTTAAAAAAGTGAAGGGGAGTTACGTAATTTGTCCATGCTTTTTACCATAAAAAAGAAAAGGAAAATAAAACCATTGCCATCTTATAAAAAATAAATAAATAAAATTTGAGCAATAAAACTATAATTTGTTATAAAAAAATATTTTTTTTATAATAAAAATAAATATTTATGTGGAAAAATTTGAACAAAATTATTTGATAAAAATGATTTTAATGTTATTTAGATAGTAATAATTCTCATAAAAAAATTTGTTGTTTAGTAGTTGATAATACTTAGAGAGCCGAAATTGATAAACAAAAGTGCAGAAATGTCACAAAAAAGATATAAAGGTCGATTTATTATCGATAAATAATTAAAATAAAAAATACATCTTTGTACTTTTGATAAAAACAAAAAAGAGAAAGTGTCGAAAAATATGATACTCTAAACTTATTTCCCGTAAAAAAAAAATATCAATTAATTAATCTTGAGATTATAAGTCATGCCATATAAATTGACGTTGCCTCGATTTAACAAATATAATATCATTATCTAAATATAATAGATTTTAATAATTCATAAACATTTTACACACTCTTATACGAAAATAATACGGTCAGAATTCATCCTCTTAATTAAAAAATGTTTTTTAAACTTTATTCTTTCATATGGATATAACCTTTTAATTTTCATATATTTTGTTAACAAATAAATTATTTTAAACTCTTTTTCTCAAAAGGATTTAAGTTATTTTAGAGAATTATTTAAAGAAAACTGTACGGTTAAAAAATTAAATGCCTATACGGAAAAAAACGATTTTATTGAAGTCTAAAAATTTTGCTAAATACAGATCTGAAAATATTTTTTTGTTAAATCATCAAAATAATTTGTTAGAATATTAAAACTGATAAGCATTGCTATAAAACGTTTTATTATTCTAGCAGTTATTTTGACTTTCGCACAAAATTATTTTGATTATTGAACAAAAATTATTTTCAGATCTGGATTCAGTAAAATTATTCTTTCCGTATAAATATTAATTATAAACTTATTCTCGAAATTTGATTAAGTTTTTATATTATATGAAAAAACTGGAGAACCTTCTTAAGCGCTCTTTCAATTATTTATGCCACGAAGACGTGCTACTTAAACTTTGCCACGCATACGTTGCGATCGTATAATGCTCATAAAAAATACACTTAAACATATAAATGTGTTTTTGAAATGTGCATTTCTGTATACCACTCGATTTTTAGAATCGATTTATAAAATTGTACATATAGAAAACCGATTCCAGCAGTGCTTGCCAAGTCTCCGAACTGTTCAGTACATCTTCACTAACTTGAAACACTTGGAAGGAAAATAATATTGTAAAGGAAAGGAAGGATTATTTAATAAGGTATTCAATTCGTTAATACTTATAAATTATATTCAATTTAGGCATGTTATAATCTACATAAATCATATGTATAGATATTAAACGTTATCTTTATATTGGTGAATAAATAAGGAATGTTCCAATAATGAACATGCAATGTATATACATATAACAATTAGCTGTTATAATTTTCTATCTACCTTAGTTACATAATATTTATCATCAGATTTATGCGTACAAATCATATTGCAAAATAACACGATTAGAATAAATACAAAAGAGGATTTGTATAACATAATTCAATTAACAAATTAATCTAGAATCTTAATTTGATAAATTATACTATTAATTATTCTAAGATATTTATGGGAAGAGACAAGTGTCTGGGCAAAATTCGTTTAGTCGAAATAAGATATTTGGGGACTTCAAATTTTCATTTTTATAAAATTTGACTTATTCTCAATTTTGCCCAGACACTTATCTTACTTGACGTTTCCTCTCTCTCTCTCTCTCTCTCTCGATTAGATAATAACTAAAATATTTGATTATATACGTAGTTTAAGTTTATTAACAATAGTCAGGATAAGAGGCCAAAGACGAGTGAAATACAGGTGTCAGTTCATATTCAGTAACTACTATGTGATTTTTACATGCTCTAGCTTTAACGAACTGCCGACTGCGAGCCGTTACTATCGTTCAACGCAGCTTTGATTGAAACAAAATGATTTATTAGATGCAAGTGAGCATCACTACTCATTAAATTGTTTAACAGCGTGGTGATAAGGTTCTGTTCCAATCAAAGCTGCGTTGAATCCGATAGTAACGGCTCGCAGTTCGTTGAAACTAGAGTATGGAAAAATCACACAGTTACATATATTGAATATAACTGACACCTGTATTTCGCTTTTTGGCCTCTTATCCTTATTATTGTTTACAATAACAAGTTAATTCTGCTTTACATGATTAATTTCTGATTAGTTGTTCAAAAAATAATTTGTTATCAAACTATCTATTAAAAAATATCATTTTTTCACTAATAACTAATCAGTTTTACAAATTTATTTTCTTAATCATTGAACTATCTACAATAAATTTAAAATAATAAAAGCTGACTTTTTTGTAAACGACTTTCCCTAGATATTTTTCTACTCACAACCAGATACAATAAAATAATTTTATTTTACAATTTAAGCAAAATTTCAATGTCAACAATAAAAAGTATCACATTAGAAGAAAAAATGAAGAAGAATCCTCAATTGAAGTTATTTATACAATCACTGAGAGAATGGTGCAAGAAACAACCGCATTTGCCAAAAATTGAGGATTCCTTTCTTGCTTTGATTCTTCATAAGAATGATTATCAAATGGAACCAACGAAAAACACAATTGAGAATTATTACACGATCAGGACGCACTTACCAGAATTTTTTGGTAATCGAGATCCGCTCAGGGAAAAGACTTGGCTACAACAAGACTTCAAAATCACGTAAGAACTTTATAAATATTAGTGAGCAAATAGTAATAGTATAACTTGTTAATAGAGTACGGTCGGGTATTATAGTATTACAGGTAATATGAGCATCCTTTATATTTTTGCGACAGTTGGTATTAATATAGTGCAATCTGCTGTGTAAAAGATTTGTTTTCAAACCATTCCAGTGTGCTACGGGGTTTGCACTTATTTTGGAAATTTATCAAATTAAATAAGAATGCATTTTATTTTCTTACGTTTTTCTCTTTATTTCATAAGATTCACAACTTATACTGAGATAACATATTTTGTTCTGCATTATCATAAAGTAAACAATATTTAGTCGTCCTAATCTCACAAATTCTTAAGACCATTATTAATTTGTTAGATATGAGGCTTTTTCAAACAGTATGTGTATGGTCGTCTATTATGCTCATATTACTCTTACAGTAGTCTACTATAAACACCGTCAACTTTTGCGAACTGGAAGATAAGTCTTTTGTTATTTTATTTATTATTTTAAATTAACAATATAGAACTTTGAAAAAAACTTTTCAACATCTGGTTGATTTTGGATACGCGTATGTCCGTTGTAAGCAATGGATCTATGCAGAATATGTAGGAATTAACAAAAAAGTAAAGATTTGAAATTATTATTAATACATTATTTTGTGACAAGAGAATAATTACATTTTAAACATTTTTTTTGTTAGAATGTTTTAATATTGTTAAAGTAAAAAGTTTTTATTGAAATATTAAACGTTTATTCTAAAATGTTTAAATATTATGTTTTCTTTTTCTTCTAAGGTCTACATTTAATCGTTTTCTGATAAATAAGATAATTATATTTTAAATGTTTATTTTATTTAGAATATTTCAATACTATTCAGGTAAAAAATATTTTAGTCTAATTGATATGTTAAATGTTTATTCTAATAAAATATTTTTAATATTATTTTTTATTTCTACATAATTTAAAAGAAATTTCTGTGTTCATATCATCCTCAGATGCCCATATTATTCTACCCAGAGAATAATATGAAAACTGTTTGTGTAATAAGAATATCCTCCACCATTTAATTATTTGCATTAATATAATCAATTCTAATAACAAAATATATAGAACAACAACAGACCTATCAAATAGTAAAAGCAAGATTTTCTTGTTGTTCAATATGCAAGAAATATCAAAATATTTTCTTAAGGTGCTGCAATATGTCAATTTTACCCTATATGTAAAATGTTAGTTTACAATATTCAAAATATTTCAAGTATATACATTTTGAGATCTATGCAAAAAAAAATAAATCCTGTAAAATGTATATTAAAATTTAATTATAGATTTTTAAAAGTATAACAAGATATTTTTGCTAACATTTTGATAAATTTTGATATATACTGATATATTAATACATTAATTTGATTAAAAATAGGACTGCTTTTCCTCTGAAAGCAACAACAAAGGATGGCTATAAAATATCATATGGATCAATACTAGACCCCGATTCTTCTCTCTATGACTTTAATAACGCTCTCAGGAAGGCCTTGATGTCAATTGACGTAAATATTTTGATAGATGGTATTACGGATGGTTATGTCATGATTTTCGACATTAGCAAATTATCCTTTGGTCATGTTACACGAATGAGTCCATTGGCATTAAAAAAATTTTTATATTATTTCCAAGAGGCAGCACCATTTCGTCTAAAGGAAATCCATGTCTTAAATGCGCCATCCGCCATAGAATTCTTAATGAACACAATAAAACCTTTTATGAAGAAAGAACTGATAGACATGGTAAATATTACAAATTTAATTAATTATAAACTTCAATTGTAATTATTTAACAATACGCGCGTTTTTGAGTAATGCAGTTATATTTGCAAAGGACGCTATGTAACGTAGCAAGTATATAATTTTAATATCACAAATAACTATTATATTTTTAACTGTATTTTTTAAAATTTAAGCAAATCTAGATTTTAACCAAATATAATTACCCGTAACACCAAAAATTTAATTTAAAACGTATTTACTCAATGCAACTGTTCTGCTTATAAGCAGTACACAAACAAGTTTTTCTGAATTTATTCAACTCTTCTAGGTACATTTTCATTCATCGTTAAAGAGCCTTTCCGAATATATCCCAGTGGATGCGTTGCCAAACGAAACGGGCGGAAAAGCGGGTTCTGTACATGAATTCAATAAAATTGAAATGAAGAAAATCGAGGATTATCGTGAATGGTTTCTGCTGGACAATACCAGATGTGTTAACGAAGCATTAAGAATTGGCAAGAGCAAATCAGCGAGTGATTTGTTTGGTATAGAGGGCAGTTTTAGAAAACTCGATATAGATTAAAAAAGATTTACAGCGCGCTAACTTCATACGATTTATAGCTAACTCTATTCTTGTGAATCTCTTTTAATATAATTTTGAGCTTTGTATTTTGTATTGTTTTATTATGTAATTATTGTGTCGTACATTTATCAAAGTTAAAACAATTTTTTACGCAAGCATTTCATAATGTTTCAATTTATTAGTAATTTTAATATTATATACACGGAGAAAAATAATTTGCTAGCATAGAAGATTTTATGCTGTTGTAGCAAATTTTGACAGTTAATATATGGCTAGCAAAGAGACTTGTTATTTTTTATTACTGATATTGTAATGCACGACTTTTTAAAATAAAAATTTGTATTTTTTCCCAAGCATTATTACTGTCTCTTATACACATCT